ATTTTTTATTAAACCAAAACATTATACACATAATAAAATGAATGTACTCGTAATACTGTATTTATTAAGAGTATTAATAATTTTAGTTGTGTGGAATTGGTTTGGATGAGGCCGAGTTTGGGTGCCAGGCGGGGCGCTAACTTCACAAAAGTTAAAATACGCCACTCAATCAGAGTCTGTTTGTTTTATAGTTTTTGTTTTCTCAAAAACGGTGTCCTCTGGCGAAAAGGGAAATATTGTACATACATTTTTTGCTTGAAAACGAATTGTGATTAAGAATATTGAAAAAATATGTCTTACAATAAGAAAAAAAGTTAAATTAAAAACCAGTTGAGTGTATACAAATTTCCGTTATTTTTGTTATATGAAACAAATTTTTGTCAATAGGTTTACCTGGTTTACAGTTTTTCTGATGAAATCATCGGCCAATTTTCAAAATTAATTACCTGGACTATAAGACGAGAAAAATGCGCATTAAAATATAAATATAGGTACTTTATATGCGTTCCACACGCTGAATATTAATCTAAAAATAAATTTTATAATGTCCAATAACCTATCAATTTGCGATGTATTTATATATTCGGTATTATTGGATGCACATTTCGGCTCTACTGACATGCTTCTATCGGCCCTGACATGGACCATTAAGTACGGGTGGTCGTACAAAAATAACAATAACACGTTTCTTAATGCACTGTTTTCTTTGTAGAGTTTATGTTGATAATTGCTATTTGTGTATTAAAAGCGAAAAGTAATACTTTGCCGCTTTAGACAGAAAGCCAATCTGTCGAAACTTTTCGCTCAAAATGCATACAAGATTTTTTCTACGATCACATTATTTTAGGAAATAGATATACAATCTGAAAATTTGTCGTAAGTAGTGTATAATGTGTTGCCTATATCTATAATCATAAAAAAGGAGTTGATAATCAAAGTCAATGTAAATGATAATAAAACAAAAAAACATGTAACTACTTACAAATAACTTGAAAATAATTTATTTATAAAATATATTACAGCTAATTAAAATTAGGCAAGCAACAGAGCTGTTAAATTTGCTGCGCGGCTGTCATCAGTTCCTGGAAAACTTTAACTTTGCTAAGAGCCAGGTGGGACCCCGGGACAATTTTATAAAAAAAATAAGTCCTTTCAATATCAATTTCTAAAAAAAAAAATAAATAAAAAAAAGGTCTCAATCAAAAACCTAGTTCCTTGTATTTTACATAAACCAGCGCACCTCCCTTTTGTGGCGAACTTCTAAAAAAATAAAACGTCCTCACCTAAAGTTGCCTGGCCCCCACTTGAGCCCGGGCCCCGGGAATTTGTCCCAGCTACCCCCCTCTTGTCGGCCCTGGCCATGCGACGCGTAGCGGAGCACAGCAATCTGTCGAAAGCAGCAACGAACTTTTCGCTTATTGTTTTAAGAAATAGATATAAACACTGAAAATTTGTCGTAAGTAGGGTATAATGTGTTGCCTATCTACGTTAATCATGAAAAAAAGGAATTGATATTGAAAGTCAAATTGGATAATATATCAAAAAAAATCGTACAAATAACTTGAAAATCATTTATTAAAAACAAATATTATTGTATTATATCTAATTTAAATTAGACTAGCAACAAAGCCTACTTTGGATAGTGATGGTAGAAAATAGCTATTTGTGTATTAAGAGCGAAAAGTGATACTTTGCCGCTTGAGACAGAAAATAGCTATTTTTTTCTACACCCACATGGATATAAGCTTATCTACGCACAGATTACAAAACGAAAAAGTATGATATTGCCTTCAACGACTGAACGAATATATTTCATATCCATTCTAGGTAGTGAGAACACTGCAAAAAAATTAAATCCGCCAATCACCGTTCATATTTTGATCAACCGACTGATATTATTTTTAAAATTTTTAAATAGGTGACAATTCTGTCAAACTAATTGTCAGTATATTTTTTAGTTATTGAGATTAAACATACATTAAAATGGGTTATTCTTGTGTAGAATGGATAAATATTAGCATTTCTGTTTTTATTTCGTCTATAATTATAAATAATTTGTTAATTTAAATAAAACTATATGAAGTCAATTTAATTACGAGTATAAAGCAACAAAAATAAAAGAGTAGGTGGTCATGTGGTCAGGGTTCCTGCCTTCCACACATTAGACTCGAGTTCGATTCTCGGATGGGGAAAAATTAAGTGAACCTTTTCTTTTTTATATATATTTTGTATATTTTTAAATATACTGTACAACTCGAGTGGATTGTCCACATCGCACTCAAACGAAATTTCGTCTTCGTGCGATATGGCCATCATATCCACTCTTGTTGCATACACTACTATTCTATACCAAGTAGGTATTTGCGCTTCGAAATCTCACCGCAAAATTGACATTTTTCCGTGACAGCTTTGTCTCTTTAGTGCGACAAAATTTAAAAATGTGCCCAACACATGATTTTCCTGTCTTACCTAAAGTTATAGGTATTTTCAGGTTATTCTATGGTTTACCTCTTGTAAAATTCATACCAATAAAACCAACCGCCCAGCAGAAACACTCTTTTTTGTTTTTTGTAAATAACAAGTAATACATCATGAAAGGTAATTTTATAGAGAATTCAGCAATATGAATCTTCATTTCGTTACTTTTGATTTTAGAGAACTTTAGCAGTCTAAAACATTGTTACTTAATGTAACGTGTAATACTTCAAAGCTAATTTTATCAGTTACTTCAGTTGATTACGATTAATTACATTTCAACTATTTAAGTTCATGTTTTATTAAATTATGTTTTGTTCTATTCTGCATTAATTACTAATAAAATTTCAATGAAGTGTCACACTTTAGAATATGTAACAGATTTTTATCCCGCTAGAGGGTGATATAATCAAAAGTAACGCAACGCATAGTCATATTGTTGAATTCTTCATAAATTTACCTTTCAAATGATGCGTTACTTGATGTTTAAAAAAAAATAGAATGTTCCTGCAGGGCTCCAGTGGGTTGGATTTCTGAATATAAAATAAAACAATTTGTTCCTTTGCAAATAAAAGTGTTTTTGTTTTTTTTTTTTTAAATTTAGGTGAAATCTAAAGTTATTTCGACTGGCTGGTTTTGAAATGAGAGCACTATATATATTTATATTAGCTTCTGTTAAAGACTCCTCAAGAGAATATGGGCATAATTCCATTAGGAGCTCTTTCAAGGATTCGTTAAATTTTCACGTTGACATGGAAAGATATTTCAAATATTATGTTTCCGAGTAGGAAATTGCAAGATCTATCAAAATCAAGAAAAAGAAATTGGGGTTACTATTTAAAAAAATTGCCAATGACGTCACTGTCCAAAAATGGGAAGTGGGGGAAACTTGAATTCTTTTTAAAAAATTGCACTTTTAGTAAACAAAATTGACCTGTCCGAGCAGTTTTTCGAAACAGCAACTACTTCCATTATAATGAATTTATTCCTTTCATTTGAACCATACTGTATACACAGCAGAGCTGGGGAGGATTCGAATCCTGGGGTTCGAATCCTTTTTGAGGATCCGCGAGCGGTATTCGAATACTTAAGAAAAAAAGAATCCGTGATCCGGATTCGCCGAGGAAATCCTTAAGGATTCGTATTCGAATCACCAATATTAGTCTCGAATCCTTTTAGAGACCAAACTACGCCGGCGCGAACGGTTGACTCACGTTTTGTCTTGTCGCGAAGTGTAAAAACTGAAATAGACTGAGACTGAAGACCGATTGTTATTATGTATTTAGAAGATAAACGTAACAATCTACAAATTAATGTCAAAGAAGACAGCAGAGCACCTAGACAATTTTGAGTTGAAACCTATACCATACTTTTAGGCTATTTTAAAGCTATTTTAATACTCTATTCAAACATTTTATGCTTCTCATTTTCTGCAAAAATCAAGGTGCTCTGCTAGTTTCGAACGAACCCAGCAGCGCACCTCAGTTTTTTAAAGTTTTTTTCAAAAAACAATCACACCGCATTTTTAGGCTATTTTTAGGCTCTTGAAATATTATAAAACTTTACTAAAAATTGCTATTTTTAAATAATACAGGGTGCTTTGTTAGAACAAAGTTAGCAGAGCACCTCGGTTTATTTTTTTTTTCTGGAAACATATACTAATGTCACATGTTAAGGCTATTTTTAGGCTCTTAAAATATTATAAAACTTTTCGAAAAAATAGTGTTTTTTAAAAATACAGGGTGGTTTGTTGGTACAGATGTGATTTGCTGGCTTCGTTCGAAGCTAGCAGAGCACATTGATTTTTGCAAAAACGAATAGCATAAAAGTAGCTTTAAAATAGCCTAAAAATTTGACAGGTTTCAAATCAAAATTGCCTTGATTCGAATCCTTTTTTATTGCAAAAAGGATTCGGACATAGGATCCGTGATTCGAATCACATCTCGTTATTCGGATTAGTGATTCGAATCAATTTTTTGAGGATTCGTCCCAGCTCTGATACACAGATATCATTGTTTTGCGAATGTCATTATTTTTATTAATTGGCCTGTGAATGATGTCAATAGAATAGATCACACCCGAGCATTTATCATCGGGGTGGTAGAAATCCTCCAAATGGAAACTTGCGATAAAATAAAATTGCGTAACTGCCTGACGTAAGAGACGACTGAAGGTTACCTCTCGGTGACGTTGTCAAACAGCGGGATTTTTGGACTCCTCCAGCCCCCGAAGGATTCACAATGGGTCTAATGGGGTATAAATGAAGTGGGAACAACCCACCCTCCTTAAATGACAGATGCAGAAGACCCGTTAAGTATGGGTTATTTAGTTATTTGGAAGCACCTCGGTGGTCTCTTTCTCAATGAAACACCCTGTATTATTTCTGGGTTTCTTGTTTTAAAATACGATCCTATAAAATAGTCGCATCGATACCCTAATATTCTCATCACTACCACCCTACGTGTCCACTCTGCTACGCAAGGTGGTAAAGGGAGTCAACACAGCGTGCCCAGAACAAAACAAAAGGGATTGAGAAACGGACAAACTCCAGCCAGCACTCGAGCCTCGAGCGCCAGCACCGCCTGAGAAATTATTGATCGCTGGAACTCACGAGCTTTTTGTTCGCTATTCGCGATCGCATAGACATCGCGTCCGTGTGTAATCAAAACTCAAAACACCCACCCCAATCAAGCTAACCATGAAAGTATGAAATGGGCATAAATACCGCGTGTACTCCGCGTTTAGGTACTCTCTTGGAATATTAAAATGTTTGAATAATAAAGGTACTAATCGAGAGAGGTTCGAGAGGAGCACGTCAGTACCTAGCGGAACTGTGAATTAAGTGTGTGAGTGAGGCGTGAGAGACCTAGAAAGTGTAGGAAATGTCAGGTAAGATTTGTGGGAAGAAAGTAAAAGAGGATTTTTTTTTGTACCCAGGTACCTGTTTTTAAAAAATCGGTACATTACTTAGATATGTTGTTTATCTTTTAGTCAACGATATTTCATAGATTTTAATTTGTTTTTTTTATAAACGTAAACAAATTTCGCGGGTTTTTATTTTCATTATGAAATTTAATTTTTTTTTTAATTTTTAAATGTTATTTTTTAAGCATGGGCGTTTGTTAAATAGTGCAATTTTTTAAGTTATATTTTTAAACTAAGCTCATAGAGAAATTTTCAGTTAGCGAAAAAATATAGCACAATATTTAATAAACTTACGAGGTAAACACCGCCATGTGCAGCATGTTGCATAATGTTTTTAACTCATGTTATATTCTCTAAAATTTCCATAAGAACATAGAAATGGAGATAAGTCAGAAAATTTGCTATCAAAACAGAAATATGTCAAAAAAATCAACAATTTATGCAAATAAAAATTGTAAGTTTTATTAGTTATATTAAAAGAATAAATAAATATTGCGATAATAATTAATAATTGGATGTCGTAAGCCTAACTGCATTTTTTGTCGAAATATAACAAACAATATGTAATTATGGAGCCCAAAAAGTGTCCAAACAACATTCAATCTGCTCTACTGAAAAGTTGACTAGAATGACATAGTGTAGTTTACCTCGGAGGTTCAGAAATATATAAATTGTATTAATATTATACAGGGTGATTTCTGAATTGATACGTTTTTAAACTGTGCATGTAAGTCGTTAAAATAAACATATTTTTCAAAAACTTAAAAATAAGAAAGTTGCAGAATTACAAATTCTAAATCTGGATCTGAACTTGTGTATGAAAAGTTACGCGAAATAATAGGTATGTTTATGTTTCTATCATTTTTTTCTTATGAATAAAATTCACGAAGACGTCGTGCTCAATCGTCTGAGTGCGATGTGGACCCACTAACGAAAATTTACAAATAAAAAATATTTTAGGTTAGGTATTAAGACAAAATAACTAATTTTAAAATAATTTAATAATTTTTAAAATAAAATAAACGACAAAAAAGAATTTAGTCAGTGCGTAGATAAGCTAATATCCATGTGAGTGTAAAAAAATGTTTTTATTAAAAATAATTTGTAAATTTAAATAAAACTATATGAAGTCAATTTAATATACTGTACAACTCGAGTGGATTGTTCATTTCCACTTTTGTTGTTATTTTTGTATTTGACGCAGTTAAAATAGACTACTTATCTTTAAATGATCAATGTTTCGGCAATAATTTAAAGATTAAACTTTGTTCCTTGAGATTATTAGGTAATTAGATAAAAAGTATAATGGACCGTGATATTGTCACGTCACTGATTCTAAACAATACAAATTGCCATGGCAACGTGTGCGCTACATTAGTGTGACGTAATTAGTTTTACAGTGACAGTTGACCTTTAACAAAAACAAACCATTATGCTATTGAAATTGACATATTTATACGTTTTTAGTTTTTTTCGATATTGCTTGCAGGTCGAACAATAGCTATTTTTGTAACCAGTTACGAAATGCCTTATTTTGTGTAACGAGTAAATATTTGCGGGACGGCATTTCGTAACGTGTTACATACAAGATTTTTCCTAATTTTGACTTAATTATAAAATTATGTTTGGTTAAAAAATAATTCACCATCATTCTTTTGTAGATACTTCCAATCAAATATTTCAGAAAATTGTTGTATTTGATTGCCCTACGACGTTTTTTTTTCTATAATAATATATATAAGGAACATGTGCAGTGTTGCCGATCTGATTTTTCACATTACCCGTGGAAGATTTAAAAAAAAAAGATTTTACCCGTTATCCAGGAGTACGTCAAAATTTTACCCTGAACATTTCTGTAAAACGTAATGTCAAATGTGAAATGTCACTATTTGGGCCCTTTTTGTTTTTCGATTTTCGATTTTCGTTTTTCGATTTTCGATTTTCGATTTTCGATTTTCGATTTTCGATTTTCGATTTTCGATTTTCGATTTTCGATTTTCGATTTTCGATTTTCGATTTTCGATTTTCGATTTTCGATTTTCGATTTTCGATTTTCGATTTTCGATTTTCGATTTTCGATTTTCGATTTTCGATTTTCGATTTTCGATTTTCGATTTTCGATTTTCGATTTTCGATTTTCGATTTTCGATTTTCGATTTTCGATTTTCGATTTTCGATTTTCGATTTTCGATTTTCGATTTTCGATTTTCGATTTTCGATTTTCGATTTTCGATTTTCGATTTTCGATTTTCGATTTTCGATTTTCGATTTTCGATTTTCGATTTTCGATTTTCGATTTTCGATTTTCGATTTTCGATTTTCGATTTTCGATTTTCGATTTTCGATTTTCGATTTTCGATTTTCGATTTTCGATTTTCGATTTTCGATTTTCGATTTTCGATTTTCGATTTTCGATTTTCGATTTTCGATTTTCGATTTTCGATTTTCGATTTTCGATTTTCGATTTTCGATTTTCGATTTTCGATTTTCGATTTTCGATTTTCGATTTTCGATTTTCGATTTTCGATTTTCGATTTTCGATTTTCGATTTTCGATTTTCGATTTTCGATTTTCGATTTTCGATTTTCGATTTTCGATTTTCGATTTTCGATTTTCGATTTTCGATTTTCGATTTTCGATTTTCGATTTTCGATTTTCGATTTTCGATTTTCGATTTTCGATTTTCGATTTTCGATTTTCGATTTTCGATTTTCGATTTTCGATTTTCGATTTTCGATTTTCGATTTTCGATTTTCGATTTTCGATTTTCGATTTTCGATTTTCGATTTTCGATTTTCGATTTTCGATTTTCGATTTTCGATTTTCGATTTTCGATTTTCGATTTTCGATTTTCGATTTTCGATTTTCGATTTTCGATTTTCGATTTTCGATTTTCGATTTTCGATTTTCGATTTTCGATTTTCGATTTTCGATTTTCGATTTTCGATTTTCGATTTTCGATTTTCGATTTTCGATTTTCGATTTTCGATTTTCGATTTTCGATTTTCGATTTTCGATTTTCGATTTTCGATTTTCGATTTTCGATTTTCGATTTTCGATTTTCGATTTTCGATTTTCGATTTTCGATTTTCGATTTTCGATTTTCGATTTTCGATTTTCGATTTTCGATTTTCGATTTTCGATTTTCGATTTTCGATTTTCGATTTTCGATTTTCGATTTTCGATTTTCGATTTTCGATTTTCGATTTTCGATTTTCGATTTTCGATTTTCGATTTTCGATTTTCGATTTTCGATTTTCGATTTTCGATTTTCGATTTTCGATTTTCGATTTTCGATTTTCGATTTTCGATTTTCGATTTTCGATTTTCGATTTTCGATTTTCGATTTTCGATTTTCGATTTTCGATTTTCGATTTTCGATTTTCGATTTTCGATTTTCGATTTTCGATTTTCGATTTTCGATTTTCGATTTTCGATTTTCGATTTTCGATTTTCGATTTTCGATTTTCGATTTTCGATTTTCGATTTTCGATTTTCGATTTTCGATTTTCGATTTTCGATTTTCGATTTTCGATTTTCGATTTTCGATTTTCGATTTTCGATTTTCGATTTTCGATTTTCGATTTTCGATTTTCGATTTTCGATTTTCGATTTTCGATTTTCGATTTTCGATTTTCGATTTTCGATTTTCGATTTTCGATTTTCGATTTTCGATTTTCGATTTTCGATTTTCGATTTTCGATTTTCGATTTTCGATTTTCGATTTTCGATTTTCGATTTTCGATTTTCGATTTTCGATTTTCGATTTTCGATTTTCGATTTTCGATTTTCGATTTTCGATTTTCGATTTTCGATTTTCGATTTTCGATTTTCGATTTTCGATTTTCGATTTTCGATTTTCGATTTTCGATTTTCGATTTTCGATTTTCGATTTTCGATTTTCGATTTTCGATTTTCGATTTTCGATTTTCGATTTTCGATTTTCGATTTTCGATTTTCGATTTTCGATTTTCGATTTTCGATTTTCGATTTTCGATTTTCGATTTTCGATTTTCGATTTTCGATTTTCGATTTTCGATTTTCGATTTTCGATTTTCGATTTTCGATTTTCGATTTTCGATTTTCGATTTTCGATTTTCGATTTTCGATTTTCGATTTTCGATTTTCGATTTTCGATTTTCGATTTTCGATTTTCGATTTTCGATTTTCGATTTTCGATTTTCGATTTTCGATTTTCGATTTTCGATTTTCGATTTTCGATTTTCGATTTTCGATTTTCGATTTTCGATTTTCGATTTTCGATTTTCGATTTTCGATTTTCGATTTTCGATTTTCGATTTTCGATTTTCGATTTTCGATTTTCGATTTTCGATTTTCGATTTTCGATTTTCGATTTTCGATTTTCGATTTTCGATTTTCGATTTTCGATTTTCGATTTTCGATTTTCGATTTTCGATTTTCGATTTTCGATTTTCGATTTTCGATTTTCGATTTTCGATTTTCGATTTTCGATTTTCGATTTTCGATTTTCGATTTTCGATTTTCGATTTTCGATTTTCGATTTTCGATTTTCGATTTTCGATTTTCGATTTTCGATTTTCGATTTTCGATTTTCGATTTTCGATTTTCGATTTTCGATTTTCGATTTTCGATTTTCGATTTTCGATTTTCGATTTTCGATTTTCGATTTTCGATTTTCGATTTTCGATTTTCGATTTTCGATTTTCGATTTTCGATTTTCGATTTTCGATTTTCGATTTTCGATTTTCGATTTTCGATTTTCGATTTTCGATTTTCGATTTTCGATTTTCGATTTTCGATTTTCGATTTTCGATTTTCGATTTTCGATTTTCGATTTTCGATTTTCGATTTTCGATTTTCGATTTTCGATTTTCGATTTTCGATTTTCGATTTTCGATTTTCGATTTTCGATTTTCGATTTTCGATTTTCGATTTTCGATTTTCGATTTTCGATTTTCGATTTTCGATTTTCGATTTTCGAT